TGGAAATAATGAACTGAAATAATGAACACAGAATTTAGTACTTACTGAGCTGTAGATGCACTTAAGACTCACTTTATGTAGACATCAGACCAAGATCACTGGGTGAAACCTATACTTCTTTCCACCTATTGCTTCCCCTTTACATTTACGTCTCTTTGCATAAAAAGATCACCAAAGCAATAACTCAACAAATCAGAGGTTTCCTACAAACACTTTTCTTTATTCTAAACAAATGTCAGTCCTTATTATTCCTGAAGTGAAATAATTCAGTGAAGAACTGGAAGGGAATTACAGCAACTGACCAGCTGAGAATTTACCACTGGGAAATTATTCTTGCAAAACTCTTTCTAGAATAAAATAGAATTACAAAATTTATTTTAAGATTGGTATTAAACCATCATTCTGGAAGAAGGCCTAGACGTACTAAAATCAAGTACAAAATCCACAACAGTTTACAAGGACAGCTGGCTGCACCAATAATTTTAGGATTAGGCTACAGTCATGCTTCTGTCACTTCCTTAAGGTTTCAATAAAATGATACACAGACAGTTTTAATTTCTACAGACTGGTAAGTCATAACTCTCAGTATTTAAAACTGAAAATATTTTTAAAAAGAGAAACATTATTATAGTCACATAATCATTAAGGTGGGGAACGACCTTTTGAGATCACTTCAGCCTACCAGTGTTACCTACAACCTCTGCTTTAGATTACTTTTTTTCTTTTTTTGGTCACAAGTTTCTCTTCTGCAATACAGGCTAATTTTAGCTCTGGCTCCAGTCTACTCTTAATCTTAATTGTCTGTTAGATCCAGCTGGGTGTCTTCAGAACATCAAGAGATACCTGTGTTTACTTATTTGCATTAAGTCACCTTGATTGTGAATAGTAGCTTGCAAATTCTGTGTGCCAAATTACAAACTGGGGGTACAGGAAGAAATAATGAAAAACGAGTTTTTGATATAAATTCTAACTGCTCCTTCACTAAAGCTGAGCTGAGAACTGCTACATGAACACAAGGGTTTTGACTGAAAAGTAATGTGTTAGGTTACAACATAAGATGTTACCAAAAGTATGCATTCCTTTACCGTCTGCTAAAACCAGGTGGGGCAGTGCTCTTTATTTTTTTCATGACCTATGCTCCCTCCAGGGGGATATCTTTTATTAATAAGACACTGAGTCTCACTCCATGACTGATAAAAATTACACCATCCCATTGTCAGATGTTCTGCCCAGGGGGAGGAGCCAAGCATTCCTATCGGGATATAATCTGAGTTTGGAACACCTCATGCAGCCTTTTTCCACTGGATTCCCAGAGGAAGACAAGACCCTTCTACATCACCACTGGACCTTCAGAGAAAAACCACACCCTTCTACAGCATCACTGTTTCAACAGAACCACATCACTCCAAGAGGTCTGCAGCCACAATTTAACAGGACTGCTACCAACACCCAGACCAACAGGGTGTCAGGCTATACTCTGACTCTGTCAGTGTTTTTGTACTTTGTACTAATAAAATGCATTTATTTTAATTTTCTTATTAAATTGTAATTCTGACTTGGAATCTCTCACTGGTTTGCTTTCAAACTAGTACAAGTTAAAAAAAACCAAAAAAAAACAAACTTATAAAGAATACAGAACGTGTAAAGAAAAATGGTTTTGAAATCATTTGGTTTGACATTGCAAAGAGTTGAATTTTCCTTTCACCTCACTAAAGCAATGCTCATAGACAGGGACACAATACTTGTACATACAATTCTCAACAAGCACACCCTGGCTGCTGCTCAAAGTCTCCTTCACAAAGCTTGCAAAGAAATCAATAATGCTATATTTGGATCTTGAGGGAATCCTTCTTGCACTGCTCAATCAGAAACTTCAATGATTTCCATCACATAGCCTATTTCATTACCACAGTGTTGTCCCCTAAAATACTAGAAATGATTAATGTCTTGAATATATAACACCTGGCTCCTTAAACATATGCTGATTTTTGTTTCCTGCTATGGAAAGGCAGGAAAGGTTTTGAACAGCCCAAAGATTGAATGTTTCCCTTTTGTCAGATCTGCAGCAGCTCTGGTCCAATCAAATTGCTACTCCTAAAAAGTGGCTGTGGCCTGTGGCTTGTTTTTGTTTTCTTTTTTAACAGAGGTATTCAAATAACTTTCATGAAGACCATTTTTTATGTAAAGAGTTTAGTATGCATTCCTTCACATACTTCTCCCCTTGCTGCACCACACAATAACACCATGCTGCACAAACAAACCCCATCCCCATCCTACAGCTGGCAGAGAAACTGCACCAGTTTCCATTTGCCCTTGTTACCAAATATATATAATTTTTTAAGATTTGAAGGATTTCTCTCTCAGTGATGCTGCATGCATAACACTGGTGAAAAAACACCCTTCCTCCTCCAAAAGCTAAGCACGAAGCCAAAACCCAGAACAGGAAATGAGTGCCACGGCTTCTAGGTAATTCAACCAGATGACAGGATGGCATCAAATTCTGGGAAGTTGATTAACCATAAGACCTGTTGAGGCAGTTAAATATATCCACTTGATCAACACTTCATCCTTGCAATGACACATCTAAACTAGTTCTTTCCACTTACAAAAAGAGTTGAACACAGACTAGCATGATAGGCAGAAATTAGACACCTAGTCAGAATAGACCCATTTCTAAAACTCAGTAGCCATTATATTACAGTTTTGTCTGCCCAAATGCACACACATCTAACTTCCATTATACTTTGATTTCATTTCAGTCTCATGTCTTTTAAGACCAGGACTTCTGCTTTTATGCAGGGAAAATCTGAAGTGTAATTTTCAGTTTCAAATATTTTTGGCTCAGAGCCCAGTCTTTGTTGCTGAGGTGAAACAGTCTCAGTCATAGAAAATGAAAACAGAAATAGACTAGAAGAGACCTTTACCAACAGCTACTGTTGGCTTCCCTTTGAAGTGATCTTGATTGTTGTAGCACATTTCATCTCTTCACCTTCTACTTTGTTCATTACATTATTTAGACACAGCAGGATTATGTACACACTACTGCAAGAACAGAAGTGAAGGACAAATTATACTTTCATATATTTCATCTTACAAATCTATCATCCTCAGCAAATTCAAGCTAGAAAAAAAACAAATTCAAGCTAGAAAAAAACCAATGTACTCAAGATTCCAACTATGTATTACTTGTCTGCTGGTGGAGGTCATTGACTATCTTTGGATCTAACTCTCTTTTTCTGCTGAAAGCCACTGGTTTTACCATTACTTTCTTTCTCTACATTAAGCCCGGGCCTATTTCTAATACATCTTTTTGAGGATGAAGCAGCATGACTTCTACATTTTGCTGATATGCTCACCTTCTCAATTTCACAAATGCTGGAACACCATTTCTAGTGAATTATTAGCATAGGATTGTTTTTAAAACTTCACAATTAATCAAAACGAGATTTGACTAAGAGCTTAACTCTTAACAGACTCAGTCTCCCTTGCAGGAGACATTATTGAAAGAGGTGAACAGAACTAGCTGCCCCAGGTCTGTGTATGCATTCAGATGAATACTTATCATTAACATCATAACATAAAGACAACTACACTTTCAAATCCTGTTAATATATCCTCACCTCTTTTCCAGAGAATTAATAGGAAAATTTCCCAGTTATCACTGAGTACTGCCTAGAAAGAATGTTGCTGTATTATTTTATTTTAATTATTTCTGCATAGTCCCTGCATATCTTCACTCCCTATGCTGACTGACTGATTTTACAATAATCCTTCTCACTTCAAGGGAAGGAAATCTCCTATGCTGTAAATTACTGAGCAAACACTGCATCACAGCCTAGGAATTTATATAACCTACTAATTATTTCTGGAACTGTAAATTAATTGTTGTAAAGGTCTTGAATATTGCTGTAGCAGCTTGTTCCCTTCCCTGCCCTCCCCTTGCCTTGAAATAAAACCCATCTGCCTCAAACTGCTGGAACAACCAGAAAAGATGTTTCCTTGCCTTTTAGAAATTCTCTCCAGGTGTAAATTCAACAACTGGCTATATCTGATTCAGCCCAGATCACCTCACATACTACAGTGGGAGACACAGAATGGCATTGATCTGATTTTCATCTGTTATTGATTTTAGACAGATATTGCTATCATGGCAACTTTTATGAAAATCTTTTTGACATTCTTAGATTAATTCTTGACCTTGAACTTTTTAAGCTATTTAACGTTAAGGGTAGAAAATTAGCAAAATAATTTTTGACATCTCCCACAATCCTTAACAAGCTGATAGTTAACTACAAGCACAGGACTATTAACAAACGCAGCTTATAAGCTTTAGATAGCCCAGTTCAGCAACTGGTTTTGTATCCATTATTGAAAAATCTACTCAAACTGCATACACATCAACAAACGTACCACAAGTCATTAAAGGCATATTAGGCCACATCAGTTTGTTCACCCCACACATGAGAAGCAGGGAACACCTGTATTCAGCCTCTAAAATTAGAAAGGTAAATCAACATTATCTACACAGTAAGTAATTTGTTTCTCCAACACCTTCACAAAATACTGTCAAACCCCTAGAAGGCACTTGCTTGAAAAAGCTGCACGTAAATTACATAGCTGGTTTTGCATTAATCTTGTTTTCATTGGATTTGCTGCAAATTTTAGCACTGCTGTCAGTGAAAACAGCACCTTCTATTCTTGAAGCAAGGATCAGGTAAAGGCAAGTGATGAGAAAGCCTTAATTACTTACACTTTCAACCGGAGATTCAGACATTAGCTATAGCTATAATTCACCTTTTCATCTGTCTTGGTTTTTGGTTTTTATATAGATTTCAATTCAACTGATTAAAAATAAAAGTTTTAAAATATTTATACCATTCTCGGCATTTCTACTTTTGCTAGGCACTTTTGGTCCACAAACTGACTATGGGGGGGAAAAAATACTGTTTTGCAAGTACATCACAAAAGCAAACTTTCAGGTGACCCTGCACAAGCCTTACCTGCATCATAGTGACCACATGGCAGGGGTTCAGGAGGTAAATGACAGTTCTGGTGGCAAATTTGAATCCCAGCTCCAGCCCAAAGATGAGGCAGAGCAGCACCAGCAGAAGGTTTTTGCCCAGGCTCTCCTGCTTAGTCTGGCGCTGCTGCAGCAGATTCTCCAGCTCCCGGACATGCTGCTGCCTGAGCTTCCACAGGGACACGAGGATCTCCATGGCGCCCACACTGAGGAAGACCAAACTCTCCAGCAAGCGCTGCTGGCCGGAGAGAAAGGCGGCGCATTCCGGCCCTCCATTGCCGGCAAAGCTGGGGTCCACCCCTCCATACATCCAGTCCAAAAGGTTGTGGAGGCTGTATCGAGGCATAGCGGGACGGTACCTCTTCTCCAGGAACAGGGAGGAGCAAGACGGAATCAAAGCCAAAATATTTCCGGAGAGACGGAGCACGAAACACCAAGACGCTCCAGCTGCAGCCCTTCCTCGGCAGGCTCCGGGAGAAGCGGCAGCTCTGCCTGGGGCACGGGCAGCTCTTCCCTTCCGCTGCCCGGAGGAGTCCCGCACGCAGCAGCCTGAGGGGAGACAGAGGCCACAGCTGCGGAACTGCTCTAGCCCCAGGTCCAGACCCCCAGCCCAGGATCCCACCTCTCCCCG